GATCCGGATTATGACTACAAGGCGGATGTGCTCACAGCCGAGGACGATGAGATGATTTCTTCTTGTTTACGTGAAAATATCACTGATTTGGAGCTCTCCATGGACCCTCCGTTAGAGCTAAGTAATATCACTGATGTTAGTGAAGATTTAGTGGGTGTTTCAGAATCACATGTAAATATATTTACTTCTGAAACGGCAACATTAACTTTGCCGGAACTTATAATATCCGAAACTATATCACCAGAAGTTTCAACAACTGATCCGGATACTCAAATGGACGTTTCAGTATCATCCGTACGGTTATCATCAAAAGAACCAATTGCATCAACTTCCACACAACTACCGACAACCACTAAATTCAAACCAAAGAAAAGACCCAGATCCCCGTTACCAACTGTAGAAGCTACGGGACCACATATAGTACCATCAGCGGGTGGCTTCACTGGCACAGGTATGCTAATAAAACACGGAAAGTCATAATGCCATACTAATTTTTTTCTCTTTTTTCTTTCAGGCTTGGATGCAATCGACAAAAATTCAGCAGAGTTCACAAAAATTGTATGGAGAAAAAAGTCAATGCAATTGCATGTCAATGAAGTCGCATTTCGAGGAAACACTACATTGCCGTATACTGTAAAGAATCTGAAGACACCAATGGAGTATTTTTGTTATTTTTTCACGGATGAACTCATCGACCTGATTGTTTGTGAAACCAATCGAAACGCACGTTTGAAAGACATAAACACACAATTCAACGTTGATGCGGTGCAGATTCGACGATACATCGGAATTCTATTATACATGTCTATTTTTCGTTATCCCAACATGGAGTCACACTGGGGAGAATTCGGATTTAGACAAATTCCTCAGTGTATGCCATTAAAGAAATTTGAACGGATAAAAAAATATTTGTGTTTTGCTAATGAAGCGGAGCGTATTCAAAAAGGACAACCTGGACATGATTCGCTTTTTAGAATTAGAAGAGTTGCCAATATTTTAAATGAACGCTTCAATTCCGTTCCAAAGAATGCGCGGTTATGTGTTGACGAGCAAATGTGTTCGACAAAAATGGCGCACCATTTACGCCAGTACATGCCGAACAAGCCCCATAAATGGGGAATAAAGTTGTTTGTACTGTGCGATACCACGGGATATTCGTACCAATTCGAGATATATAATGGTGCTGGAGATAACATCATCGTGCCAGGAACACCAGACCTCGGAGCTACCAGCAACGTTGTTATTAGGTTGTCACAAACAATTCCAAATTTCAAAAACCATATCGTTTACTGTGACAATTTTTACACATCGTTGCCCCTTTTAGTTTATTTACGAGCTCGTGGAATCTTTGGACTGGGGACAATACGTGCAAATAGAATTCCCAATTGTAAACTTCCGCTGGATGCAGATAGAGAAATCAAAAACGCCGAACGGGGTTACGCAGTGGAGTATATGGGTTGTGCATATGGTGTGGACCTTACCACTGTCCTCTGGAAAGATACCAAAAACGTAAAACTTTGTTCAACTTACGTTGGGGTCCAACCATTTCAGAAATTGAATCCAGACAAACAGATAGCAAAAACGACTCGTTACGACAAAAGAAAGAAAGAATACATTGATGTCGACTACCCCCAAATAATTCGTGAGTACAATTCGCATATGGGAGGAGTTGACCTCATGGACTCGCATATGGGACGAAGTGGACTGCGCATTAAAACAATGGATGCAATGACACGCATCTTTTACCATTTTCTGGATATGGCTGTCACAAATGCGTTCATATTGTATCGCAGATCACATAATGAGGATGCTGCGAAAACAGATTTCAAAGAAGAAGGAACTTCAAAAGAAAAAAACATGAGACTATTCCAATTTCGTGTGAAAATTGCTCAAGGTCTGTGCTCTTCTGTTCAGAAAAGACCCATTGGTCGACCTTCAAACTCACCGCTCACTACTAATAGTACTAATACTGGCAACAAGGCAGCGCATCCTGTTGAAGATGTACGTTACGATGGAGTTGATCATGTTCCTGAATGGATTCCAGGTCGTAAAAAGTCCTGCAAATACTGCAAGAAATCGGAAACACACACTTTCTGCCCGAAATGTCAACTGCATTTATGTTATTCCGGTGCCAAGAATTGTTGGAAAGACTACCACGTCCGTCGTTAATATATTTCATTTTTTAGTATTTACCTGTTAATTTTTTTTATCAAGTTTATATCAATAAAAAATTAAATGTTTTTATAAGCAACAAAAAAGGACTAATTCATTTTCCCCTATAGAACGATATACCGGCCGTATGGCCGGCATTCTTCTTTTTCACTTTGTGACTGACTCAATAACGATATCGAAAAATGGACTTTCTATTCGTGTTTCATTTACCAAAATTACCCCGAAACCAAAATTTTCAGAAAGTTTAATCCCCTATTTCTATTTTGCCGATTAAAGGGTTAAAATAATTGGGCATTAGGTACTTTGCATAATTATCAAGTCATCATTCCGTATGTTCAATTTGCAGATTAAAAAACCATTCCGAAGACTACCAAAGAAAAGAAGGGGTTGTGATCGGAGGGAAAGCCACTAGCGCGAAAAGTATGGGATGGAAGAAGGCTGCCAAAACTTTTGAAGTACCCAAGATCATGCTGATACGTTTGTCAATGGAAAAGTATGGAGAACCAGCAAAAGCAGCTTCTGTTAGGGCAGGAAGGCCTACTGTCTTGCCTCCCGAATTATAGAAACAGTTGGTTATGTATTGTTTGGTCATGACATCTACATTTTTTTGTTTGACTAGGCGAGATCTTCGGCGGATGGCCTATCAACTGGTTGAAAGGAATGGCATAACGCACCCTTTTGTTAAAAACAACATGGCAGGTAAAGCGTGGCTAGACTTATTTATAAAAAGGCATAAGAGCCGACTTTCTATTCGTAAGTCAACAGGAACCTAATTTGCAAGAGATGTAGGTTTCAACAAAGAAAACATTGAATATGCATTTGAAAACACAGCTATCCAGCCAATAGAATGTTCAACGTTGATGAAAGTGGCCTTACAGTAGTTGAAAGGTAAGTAATCTCTATTGATCTCCGAAAAAAAGGCAGATAGGTTCTCTTTCATTAGCAGAAAGAGGAGCCTTGATACCAATTGTAGTCTGTATGAGTGCTGGTAGAGACTATGTTCCACCATGGTGATAATTTTGCTGTCTTTTTACGTGCAAACATCAGGAAGGATTACAAAAGAACTGTTTACAAAATGGTTCAACTATTTTTGGAGCACGGCAAAACCTACGACTGAATCACTTGTTCTCCAAGTCTTTGACGTTCATTCAAGCCAAACCAGAAATATTGACATTATCGAGAAGGCTAGACAGAACCATGTTACAATCATCTCCTTACCGCCTTATTTTAAGCATAATTTACAGCCCTTAGATAAGTATTTTTTGTCTCCTTTAAAGACTTATTAAAGTCAGGAGATTAGGCAATGGTTGTTAATAAACCAACACCCTCTAACAGCATTCGACGTAATGGAGCTGTTTGGCAAGGCCTACATAAAGTGTCAAACGGTGGAAATAGCCATCAGTATATTTAAGACAACTGGAATTTTTCCACTGGATAGAAACTGGAAGTTTTCTGATGCCGAGTTCATTGCAGAAGCCCAAAAAGAGAAGCCTATTGATTTAGATGATAACGGCTGTACATCTGATGATCTTGTTGAAACTTCGTTCGAACAACACACTTGATGAGAAAAATCCCGAATCTTCTCCCTTGGTGACACATTCTCCTTCATGGGTTGCACACGAACAAGCGTCCACCTCAACTTAGTTGGTAGAACCTCCTCCCCTATCTTTGCCATTTCTCTAATCAAGTTCTCTTTCAAATCCTTTTAGTTTACGCAATTCTCTCTCAAAATCTCGCCTGATAAACAGACCTCGAAGAAGAAATTGTTAAAAGGTTCTGTCAGATAGAAAGATCAAACACATAAAGACGCCAAAGAAAAATGGCAGAAGATTGGAACAAAGAAGAAGATGTTAGAGGCTGAAAATAAAGAAAACTTACAGAAAGAGTGTAAAAAGCATAAACCTAGCTCTCAGGTCAAGAGACAATTAGATTCTTCAATACACAATGGATCTTCATCTGAGGAAGAATAACATTTGTCTCTGAAATCAGTCTCTTCAAACACCGAGACCAGGACAAACACCGAATAAATCGGATATGACGTGCATGTTCTGCAACGAACAATGGTCCAAGTCAGTGACGGGTGAAGAGTGCATCAAATGCCTAATGTGTCAAACTAGATTCAAACTTAAAACAATCTTAGACCTACGCCTTTTATGAAAAAGCTAATTTATTCAGATATTTTTGTATTTCAGTCACTTAAAAGTCAGATTTGTACACAGTTTGTTCATTAATCTAATTTAAAAATGAAATAAATTTATTTATTTACTTAATTGTGAATCATTTCTACACCGGTTATAATCCATTAGATTTCTAGGGTGTACGAAATACGAGAAAAAAGAGGGGTTCGAATTTACAGCACTTGTTTAAGTGTTTATTTTGTAATTATTAAAATTATACTTTTGCAAAAATTAGCAATAGTCATATAATATATATTTTTAAAATATTTCAAACTAGATAATGTTAGATTAGTTTTTTTCTTAAATTGGAATTCAAACTACTTTAGTATAAATGTTATTAAGTAAAAACCAATTGGGGGTCCGAATTTGCCGCCTTACCTCTAGAATCCGCAGTATAATTTATTTTTTCTTAAAAACCCCTATTTTTTTGTGGATTCATTATAATTTTGAAGTAATAACTTCTAATTTATTATGTTAACCTTTATTCCTGGTATACGTTTTATTTTTCATAGAAAATATATTCAAAAGTGTAAAAAAACGCAAAGTAAAAAGTCCTTATTAATCCCTTACACGGTGAATTTTACTAGTTAATAATTATTCACATTACCATATTAATTAATAAACGCCGAATTGTTCGACATTGGCACTTACCTCGAGATCACTTATCCCACGTCCAGGCGTGTTGACACATACTCCACGTTCACCCCCACTTAGCACCCCTGCTGGGGTCAGCAACTGTACAAAACAAAATAAATTAGGTGGGTACTTAATTACTCGTCGAATTGTTATGTAGAGATCAAAATCAATAAATTCGTTAATGGATGTTGGCTATGAAGAGTGGTATCATTGCCGTGATGGGTTATTTACTGTGTCGAATTCTAAATTCTTAATACTGAGTCTAGACTTGTGTACTGAACGCTTTTATTTCTAGCCTTAAATTAAAACGTACAAACTATAATGTTTCTTATTTATCTAACTCTGTTGCAGTCGAAAAATCTGTTTAATACTTTTTGTAAAACGTTTTCTGTTTGATATTATAGCCCAATCAAAATAAAAAGTATTGCATTATGTTTCAAATTGGGACATTTTCCAAGTTTAGGTAAAAATAAATTCTTTTTTTATATGAAAGTATTGAGATCACGAGATCATTGTTTAAGTTTGGTTTAAATCTAAACCTTATTTAAAAGGTACGTCATAAAATACTCTCTCCCTCTCTCTCTCTCCAATGGTGCTACAGCTAAGTAAGCTAAACTATTATCATGTGCATGCGTATATATAGTAGTGCATTTGTTTATTTCACTTAATTCTCGAAATACGAAATAAAGATGGCACTAACTACTAAAGAGTTAATATGCTTTGTTAGATTGTGAAAATGTTGACTCACTTAATGTAGTTTATTTGCCCCCGGAATTTGATGAAGTTTCTGATGTAGAAGACATTGATGATAATGTTACTTGTGAAGAAATCAATCAAATCGGATATTGCAGGTACATATGAAATACAAGTGATTGGGAATTCTGACGATTCTGATTATTTTCCTCTGAACCACAGATAAAACGTCCAAAGAAAAAACCAGGCAAAAAAAGTAAATCCAAATTTGTCTCAGTCTCCTTCGTGCTCAGTAGTTATTCAACATCAGTCTGATTGATATTTAGACAATATAAAAGCCAACCATGGAGGCAAGTCATATATTGAAGTTTTTTCACTCTTTTTTGATAAAAAAGTGATTGAAAGCATTCTATATTTTACAAATATTTATGCATGGCAGAATAACCGTCACGATTTTGAAATGAATAACATATATTTAAAAAAAAATTATTAGCATATGTATATTATCTCGTTCACACTCTGCTTCAAGTTGATATGCATTGGTCAAAGGATAAGGATAAAGAAGTACATATTATAAGAGAAAGCATGAGCCGACATAGATTTATATTTATAATTTCTAATAGTGAAGAAAGCGCTACATCAGTGTCAAACTTGATACATGGACTTCAGTCTAAATTTGCTTTACCAGATAAAACCAGATTCGACAATATTGACCACATTACAAAAAGACACGATATTGCAATAATGTAGGATGTGCAAAAGTAATACTATTTATTTATGTAAAAGGTGTAGAATGCATCTACACCCCGAATGTTTCGAAAATTTTCACCTTCAAATTTCATTTACATTTAAGATATACAATATGTTCCTTTATTAAAAATTGTATTGTTTTCCTTGAAAATGAGAAAAAAATCTTTTTGGTAAATTAGTCTTAATTTATGTGTTTTTAATCCAATCTAATAAATTAACTGAGAGCCTGGAATGAGGAACAAATCCCGGAAGAGTGGTGTATTGGAATCGTTTGCCCGCTACACAAAAAGGGGTGACCAATTGGAATGTAGAAACTATAGGAGAATAACCCTACTTAATACAGCATACAAAATATTTTCGAGGATCTTATATGGTTGCCTAAGTGCATATTCAGAGGAACTTCTCGGGGAATATCAAAGTGGCTTTAGGCCTGATCGATCAACAACAGATCAGATCTTTGTGCTAAGGCAAATACTGGAAAAAACCAATGAATTCAATATCGATACATACCGTCTTTTTGTAGACTTCAAATCTGCCTATGATAGTGTCATAAGAAATAAACTGTATGAAGCCATGAATGAATTCCACATCCCCGATAAACTGATAAGTTGGTTAAGGCTACAATGCGTAATATGGTTTGCAAAGTCGAAATACAGGGCGAACAATCACAGGCGTTTGGAACGCATGTTGGGCTGCGACAGGGAGACGCGCTGGCGTGTCTCCTTTTCAACATAGCACTGGAAAAGGCGATCAGAGATGCCCGAATAGACAACAGAGGAAATATTTTTAATAAATCATCCCAAATTTTGGCATATGCAGATGATGTGGACCTAGTTGCCCGCACAACACGCAAGCTAGAAGAAATGTATACCACCTTCTCAAATGCCTCAAAATCTATGGGCCTGCAAGTAAATTAGGGGAAAACTAAGATGATGACATCAACACCCAACAATAGAGTCAGGAACATCGGTCCCCAATTCACGGTTAATAACTCTACCTTTGAAGTGGTGGACAAATTCACATACTTAGGCTCCCTGATCACCAAAGAGAACGCCATAACGGAAGAAATCAAGCGAAGGATAATAATGGCAAACAGATGCTAATTTGGACTGAGTAGACATATGAGAAGTAGAAACTTCAGCCAAAAAACAAAAATAACTATATACAAAACCCTTATACAGCCAGTTTTGACATATATATTGGAGACATGGATCATCTCCAAGTCAGACGAAGACCTTCTGCTTATATTTGAATGAAGGATTCTGAGAGGAATATTTGGTGGCATCTGTAAAAATGGTGTTTGGAGGAGGAGATACAACTACGAGGTATACCACAGATATAAACAAATATTTGGTGGTAAAGACGTAGTATCTCTTATAAGAATAGGAAGACTAAAATGGGCAGGACATCTAGCAAGATCACAGCAGAACAACCCTCCTAGAAGAATCCTTATGTCACAACCCGTGGGAAGTAGAAAAAGGGGTAGGCCAAAACTCAGATGGAAGGATGGTGTAGATGAGGATGGTAGAAAGATAGGCGCAGCAAACTGGCAACGGTTGGCAATGGATAGGACTGCCTGGCGTAATAGACTTGGGAAGGTCGAGGCTCTTTCATAGGGCTGTAGCACCATTGATGATGATGAATAAATTAATTGTAAAATTTTCAAATTTCTCTTTGTATATTGGGCGGGTCGTTAATGGGTTAATATATATAAAGAATAAACTTACCTGAAATTTACTTTAGATGCCTCAAAACTATTTAAAAGTTAATAATAAAGTATGTTTAATAAATATATCCCAAGAAATAGAACACATTACGCCTATGTACATAGATAATGTAAAACAAATAAACTAAATATCATGTTTCTCTCATTCCCATTCTTTCTAAGAACGTAAATATATATAGACCAGCGAAATATTGATAATTTACCGATGTTTCAAACTATTTAATGAACATGTCTAAATATACGCTCGTGAATCGAAACAATTTATATTGTTACGGGGGTAAATTTTATGCTACTATCTTACTTTTTCACTCATTTACATGGGCGAAACATACACAATAAAAATGACCCCGGTAAGAATTTACTGTTGACATTTTACATAGTTGCCGTTATCGTTTAGATCAATGAAAATTGTCCGACTATAGCACAATCAAAGAGCGCAAATTAGAATATCTTGGCCATGTTATGAGAAATTAAAACAGATATGGCTTATTGCAACTCATTCTTCAGGGCAAGATATTTGAAAAGAGAGGACCAGGGAGAAGAAGAATATCTTGGCTTCAAAACCTAAGGAAGTGGTTCAATACGTCTACAACCGAATACTATTTCGAATAGCTGCAAGTAAAGTTACAAGTACAAGCTGTACAATAGCTGCAAGTACATTGTGCCTTCTTAGTTCGATAGCTAAATTGTACGAACAGCTTATAAAAGGCCGCCTTGAGCGAGAGCTAGAAGAAAAGCATGTGCTTAGCGACCGCCAATATGGTTTTAGGGCCAAATGGTCCACCGTAGATGCGGTCACATAAGTAGCTCTTTAGTCATGCAGGATACAAGGAGATGGGTGGCTCTCATCCTGCTCGATGTCAAGAATGCCTTTAATACGGCATCATGGAAAAAATCATGTCCCAGGCTGAGAGAATTGGGCGTTAGTGAATACCTAGTCAACGTAATTGACAGATACTTACTGACAGGTCCATAAGAGAAAAAGACCCCAGCATCAGTTTGTCGCAGGGTGTTCCGCAGGCTGAGTACTAAGTCCCATCCTGTGGAAAGTCCTGTACGACGGGGTGTTGAGGCTACAGATGCCAAGGGATGCACTCTTGTAGCTTATGCCGATGATCTCGCACTGGTTGCGAAGACGAGTCAGAAAACGGACATGGCTAATGTGGGTAACACAGCCTGCGTCGCATTAGTAGGTGGATTAGAGAAAACCATCTACAGCTAGCGCCTCAGAAAAACTGAGGTGTTTGTTCTCAATGGAAGCCGGGGAAAAATCCTCTCGTCGCTTTATAGTGGACAGGTGTGGAGGTTTCACCGGTTAAATCAATTAAGATAGCTGGGAGTCTGGTTGTTGGAAGGTCTAAGGTTCGGAGTACACATCCAAATGAGAGTAGAGAAGGCGAATCGAAATCTGGAGGCGTTGATACGCTGATGCCAAACATTGGAGGCCCAGGATAGCACCAAAAGAAAGGTGCTAAATGGAGTTTTCCAGTCGGTGGTAACCTACGCTGCCCCTGTGTGGTGTAGTGTACTAAACACTGTGAAATACGCTAAACTGATGAAGACTTCACAAAGGCGAATGCTCCTCAGAGTGTCTAGCGAATATTATAGTTTCAATGAGAGAGAAAGAACGATAGTAGAGTGGCAGAGAGAATGGGCGAATGTAGTGGTAAGACAAGGTGGACGAATGAGCTTATTCCCGATCTGAGACCGTGGTGGGAATGTAAGTTCGGAAAACTAGACTACTTCCTGACGCAGTTTCTGACTGTACAAGGTAGTTTTGGCACCTTCACAAATAGAATAGGCAAATCTGCCTCGGCAGATTGTACTGTTTGTGGAGTACCGGACGCTTCCCACCCACATTTTTAACTGCAAGAGATGGCAAATGAGATGGGAAATTTCGAGAGGCGAATGAGTTTCGGGCTGGATGCAAAAACATTGTAAACATAATGTTGAGAGGAGAGAAAGAATGGAGAGAAGTACACTGTCTGATTTCTGTAGTGATGAAGAAAAGAAAAAGAAGCAAGAGACAGAGGAGGAAATTGGGCCAGCGGATCTGAAATTTATTAGTTTATGGCCTAACGTCTAAACATTTTCTGATTTACGGTAATAGGTTATGGTTATTTATAAATTTTTAGTTTTTTTATTTTAGTTGTTTATTGAATGGAAGAGCACCCTTCTGAAACGGTGGTTATGGCTTTAGCTATATACGGTTAATCCAGCACTACCCTGGGGTAAAGATATAAAAAAGATTTCCCCCACCGTTGCCTGTCAGAATTCAGTGGATAAGCTTCTTAGGCTCTTACTGGAATCTGGCAATACGGCAATTTTAAAAAAATTTGATGGTAAAATGAGAATAAAATTTGTTAAAAGATCCAGATTGCAATAATTTCAATAGCGGCTATCTTACGGGCTAGTGTAAAGATCTAGATAGCTCGTGAACGATGGCGCATCATAAGCTCAGCTCTCTTAAGTCCAACTCCCCAGAGGGAGTGTAATGGTCATTGTGATGTCGTGTATTGTCCATCTCCAAAGACTTATGTCACTGGTCATTTCTTTTAACTCAGCTCATCTAACTAAGTCAAAATAGTTCAAACAAAATGTCAGTTAGGTTGAAGACGTTTTAAAAGTGTTTGTCGTCTCTATATCAAATATTGAATAAAAAATATTATACCAAGTTATGTATTCCGATGTTCAACACTAGATGGAGATTTCACTCTTTGCTTAAAATTATTAGAGCAGAATAATGTTTCTATTCTAGTCCGCAATTATACTGTAATACATACATTCACGCTTTTATCCATTATAATACCGTAACAAACGAAGGAAAAAGTGGTTAGCATAGTTTTGCGCAGTTCAAAAGCATATTCCAACTTTTTGCCTTAATGTAGACACGAAATACATACCCTGTGAAATCCAGTGCCACAAAGGCATCCGCTAATTTGACAAACGACGTACAGCAATGTTTGTTTTAAATTAATTTCGCCCAGAATGTACGCTGAGAGGGTAACTACGGGATTTACGTAAGCGCCAGAAATGTGCCCCAACATCTGCAAATAAAAACGATCATTGGTTTGTTTAATAATAAGTCGATTGTTGAAAGAGTACTAGTATAGCAATACGATTAATAATAAAACATGTATATTCATTTCAGGGATTGGCAACAATGGTAAATAGATAATTGCACTTAAAAAACAAAAAATCAGGCGAAAACAAAAATAATATTCATAAACTATATTTTGTGTACTCTTATTTATAAATGAACGTAAACGCATGGCGAAACGTAAGTGAAACGGACTGGAACGGAAGAGTTGGCCAACTTTCATCTTTTACAGTGCGTTACTTGCGTCTAGCCAATCAAAAGTAAGAAGTTCTTCTTCTTGCTGGTGCTTGAAGTTAACTTTACTTTAAAACTTTACAAGTTTACATAAGTTTAAAAGTTTTAAATAATTTCTAGTAGTACTCTGATCCTGGCAAAGAAGCGAAACTGGCTATTTGTCCTTGTTTGTGGCTTATTCCCAAACCGATTGATTTATACAGATGATTTATTGAAATATTAGTAAGCATGTCTTCTTTTTATACACACTACATACCGTTCATTTTCTTGAAGCGAATTTATCAATAAATGTCGAAAGAACCTACTTGAAATTGTGAACCAAGAGAAATTTCTTACCTGTATGACTACTGTTACAGCCAGCCCAGCTGCCATGCTAACGTGCAAAACGGTAGCATCCCCTGGATCTCCAAAGTGGCTCCAGTACACGAAAGAAACAGTAAAACGGCAGTTCCAACAAATTCTGATGCTCCACAAATAACTAAGTCTTTCAGAGTTACACGTCTCGCTGACTGTTCATTATTTTCTGGAAATATTACCAAAGTTTCTGAAATTTGACGTAAATAAAATTCATCGATTACTTTGAGCACAGTTAGCACAACAGACGAAATAGCTAAAGAACAAAAATTAAAAGAATGAATCGGTAATGAAAATAATGATAATTAAACAAACAGAGAATAAAAAAGGTAAAGTTTACACATTTATTTCTGGTTAAAAGTCTATATTGGACAAACAGTGGGAAGTTTTAGGAACGCTTAGGGAAACACACTCTTACAGATAATTACCAAATTCTTGAAAACATACAATCATTAAATGAGAACTTTTAAATCTAACTTTAACGGGTAGAATAACGGCGTAGTATTAACACTTATTCTCTGTGTTTATTGATTCTTTTCCCATAGGTTATTCAATTATTTCTGCCTTCAAACCTTTATATGCCGAACTGTATGTTCTTCTTTTAAATACGTCATCTTGTGATTAAATAGTGGTCCAAGTTTTCTTTCTATTTTTTTTTTTGTTGTAACATTTTTCTGAGGATTTTACTTTCTCATATACTTAGTATATCTTCATCTTTATTTGTTATTAAAATTAATTCTGTTACATCCAGATTTTGGTGTCTCTGCTGATGTTCTTACCTTTGTTTTTTTCTAGTACGATCTGTTTACCTGTCTTTACTTTTTCATTTTATCCAGTTGTTCCGTTGTTAAATCTGTTGACCCCAACCTCTTTATATAAAGTACATTGTTTAATCATTAAATTCTCTATAATTGCTGTTTCTTAAGACTACTGAGGATCTGTGCTTGAGTCCCTCCATCTCTCTCTAGGTCTTCCCGAAGTCTTTCAGTTTCTGGTTTCCATCTATTGTCCTTCTGGTCGTTATTCCTTCTCTTTATGCCTCAGACGTATAAGTACCAGTATGTGCGCCTTAATAAATCTAACCATAGCTTCCCTTAATTTATATCTCTTACTTTATGGTTCATTCTTCTTCTCATTTCTCCGTTTTCCATACTTATCGGGCCCATAATTCTTCTGAGGATTTTCCTTTTACATATTCTCAATTTTTCTTCATATGATCTGTGGGGCACATTGTCTCAGCTGCGTATGTACTGGCCTGACTCATCATCATCAACCTAGATGCGTCTACTGCTGGACATAGGTCATAGGACATAGGAGAAGGGGTTTTTCCTTGGTAGATGCTTTCGGTGAAAAAATTGATCAAAGCTTGGATAATTTTATTTCCACCTAGTTTGATCGGTTCAATCACTACTCCGTCATCGCCAGGGATTTGTTATTTTCATATCTTAAAGTGCCGTTTTAATTTCGTATAGAATTATTTGTGGCATTTATTCTGATCCCTGGTTTGTGATTTTGGGCAGGGGCTGCTGATCTTGCCCTTCGTAGGTGTTCACATACATTTCGCCATAAAAGGATTCCTTCTCAAGGATTTTGGTTCTATCAGTAGTAATTTTTAAATCTTTCTTTTTTTTATTTTGTACATATTTCTGTTGCCTATCGTTCATGTGGTCGGCCAACGATCCAGTCACATATCAACTGTAAGTCATAATATTTTTTATACCAAAGTACAGATCAAATAACTAACGAACTTTTTAAAAATATACTGTTTGTACTTTGACGTAATACATTTCTACTGAGTAAGAGCAGCGTAAAATTTCCTGGACAGATCACACAACAAATGTCGAAGTAAAAAATTAAATCGAATAGGCAGAGAACCAGAATTGCTGTCAATAATAAAAAGAAGAAAAGCTGCTTATCTGGGTCATATATTTCGAAATTCCAAGTACCAGTTCTTAAACCTTATTATGGAAGGGAAGATAGAAGGAAAACGGGGCATCGAAAGAAAGAAAATACTCATGGCTTAAAAACATAAGGGACTGGACAAACCTCGATGCCCAAGCACTCTTTAGAGCCACACAAGATTGAGGAGTATGCCAGAATTGTCGCCAACATCCACTAATTGGATAGGGCATCATAAAAAGAGAAGAGCAGCGTATTTTAAATCCAATAAAAAAGAACCACCTCTTAATGATGATATACCACAAGTCTCCAAAGTAATTAGTACCTAATTACTTGTATCCAACCGAAAGAATATTTATTCAGCTACACTTGGATGGTGTTAGAGAACCTGCCCGTTCCACTTTTCTTATTTTTACCATTCGCGATTTATTAAGTATTTAAATTTTTAACCTTTTAAAAGTGTAGTTTTCTATCGTCATTTCTCTCGTCTTGTTATTCTGTCTGCTAGAGCAGATTATATACTTTCGTTTTCCTTCGTTAGTTTTCAGACCTCTTTTCCGTACTTCCTTTGTCAGGAATGTTAATGCTTATACACATGGTTAGGGACATGCATGTATATACACAGGTTATACACATGGAGGGGACCAGGAGATAATTCACTACATATGATTAGAAATCAGATAGACTATATTCTGGTAAACAAGAGATTTAAGAATGGCGTCACCAGAGTAACGACATATCCTGGTGCAGATATCGGTTCAGACCATAACCCTGTAATAACTGACATCAAAGTGAAGCTCAAAAAAGTCCAAGAAAGCCCCAAAACACCAAAATTAAATATCTTAATATCCAACAAAACGTTAATAGAAAATGACTTAAACAATGAGCTAAAGAAATCAATAAATGAAAACAACACAGAAATATGGAACACATTTAAAGATCTTACCTTGAAAGTAATAGAAAAATATTCAACAACGTTACACAGGCACAAAAAACAACAATGGATGACTGATGAAATCCTGGAATTAATGGAGCAGAGAAGGAAACTGAAAGGTAACAAGACAGAATATAAGGAAAAACAGAAACTAATTAAACAAAAAATAAAGGTGGCTAAAGAAAAATGGATGGAGGATAAATGCAAGGAATTAGAAAAGTTGAATGAAAAACATGATACGTTTAATATGTTTAAAAAAGTTAGAGAAGTAGCTGGTCTTTATCATAAGAAAACTCCACATACTATAACCGATTCGTCGGGAAAAATGATAATAGACGAACATGAAATTCGAACAACCTGGTGTAATTATATAAGTGAACTGTATAATGATGATAGACCCGAAGAACCGGAGACTTTAGTTGAAGGTGAAGGACCAGAAATACTAAAATCAGAAATACTGCATGCTATAAAGTTAGCAAAGAACAAGAAAGCCGTTGGCCCTGATAACATACCGACAGAGATGTTAAAGCTTATAAATGAGGAGAACATTGGAATACTCGTCAAACTTTTCAATTATGTTTTTCGACTGGTGATACCCTGAAATTGGAAAAGTCGATTTCTAAGCATCTACCACAGTAAAAAACGTCCGAGATAAACTGTAGGATTAAGAATGATCAGGCATGAGAAGCCACACTTTGAAAAGCATTCAGAAATGGACTGGGAACTCGGGACGCCCTCTTTGCACTAAATGTATTACTGCAGAAATGTCGAGATCAAAGGAAAGACGTCTTTGCTGTATTTATTGACTATGAAAAGGCCTTTGATCGAGTACAGCATCACAAATTAATTACAATATTAAAAGATAAAGGAGTTGATAGTCAAGACATACGATTCATAGAAAAGTTATACTGGCGTCAAACAGCGACAGCTTGCATAAACGGAAAATCAACAGAAATATGTAAAATACAAAGAGGTGTCAGACAGGGTTGTATACTATCCCCACTGTTATTTAATTTATATTCAGATAGAATATTTAAAGAAGCGCTGCATAATTTGGAATGGGGCGTGAAAGTTAATGGAATTCTGATAAATACAATCAGATATGCAGACGATACAGTTATTTTAAGTGATGACATGAATGGACTACAATGCCTTTTAAATGCCATTGATACAGTGGGAAGAGAGTTTGGCCTAAACATAAACTGTTCAAAAACAAAACACATGGTGTTTAGCCGTTTAGCACATCAAGATGCACGATTATATGTTGATGGTCATATAATTCAAAGAGTGTCCAGTTTTAAATATCTTGGTTGCCATATTACTGAACAACTAAATCCAGATCAAGAGATAAAATGTAGAATCGAGATAGCCCGCACGACATTTTTAAAAATGAGGTCATTCTTCTGTAATGATAACTTGCAACTTCAACTTCGAAAGCGCATGGTTAAATGCTACATTTGGTCAGTCCTCTTATACGGTGTCGAAGCATGGACATTAAAAATATCCACCATTAATCGTCTGGAGGCCTTTGAAATGTGGCTGCACAGACGTATACTAAAAATTCCATGGACGGCTATGCTGACAAATGTGGCATTCCTTGAGAGAGCAAATGCTGCTCGCGAGCTGCTTGATAACATCAAATGTAGAAAGATGGCCTATTTTGGACACGTAGTAAGGGGAGACCGATATAATATTCTTCAACTTATTATGATGGTAAAATCGAAGGACGCAGAGGAATTGGTAGAAAGCAGGCCTCTTGGTTGAAGAATATCAGGGAGTGGACAGGAATAAAGAAAGCTGAGCAACTATTTAGAATAGCTCGAGACAGAGACAGTTTCGCCATGTTAATCGCCAACGTCAAGGGGACTTGATAGGGCACGTTAAGAAGAAGAAGTTAATGCTTAGTTTAATCTATCCTTATCTCTTCCCGTAAGAACTATATCATCTGAATATTCTACTATTAGTATTAGAGAGTGGGCTATATCTCCTTTAATCTCGCTGGCCTTGACGGTTCCTTCTATCTTCGGTAATATGTTACGCTTATATCAGGACTTTAATTTCTGTCCTTTGTTTTCTTATGAATCTCCACATCCTTTAACAACTTTATAATTCCATTTCTTATGAGAAATTTTTGTTAACATTTAGATTTTCATTTGAATTTTTATGTGAATTTTCGCATACTAATCAATATGGAGACATAAATATATCTTTGACTTACTGACGCAAAGCAGAAAGCGGA